AAAAAGCCAACCGTATCCTGGGCTGCATAAAAAGAAGCATGGCCAGCAGGTCGAGGGAGGTGATTCTGCCCTGCTACTCTGCTCTGATGAGACCCCACCTGGAGTACTGTGTCCAGCTCTGGAGTCCTCAGTACAGGAAGGACATGGACCTGTTGGAGAGGGTCCAGAGGAGGGCCACATAAATGATCAGAGGGATGGAACACCTCTGCTATGAGGAAAGGCTGAGAGAGCTGGGGTTGTTCAGCCTGGAGAAGAGAAGGCTCCAGGGAGACCTTACTGTGGTCTTTCAATACTTAAAGGGAGTTTATAAGAAAGATGGGGATAGTCTTTTTAGTAGGGCCTGTAGCGATAGGACAAGGGGTAATGGTTTTAAACTAAAAGAGGGTAGGTTCAGACTGGATGTAAGGAAGACATTTTTTACAATGAGGGTAGTGAAACACTGGAACAGGTTGCCCAGAGAGGTGGTAGATGCCCCATCCCTGGAAACATTCAAGGTCAGGCTGGATAGGGCTCTGAGCAACCTGATCTAGTGGTAGATGTCTCTGCCAATTGCAGGGGGTTTGGACTAGATGACCTTTAAAGGTCCCTTCCAACCCAACCCATTCTATGATTCTATGATTCTGTTTTTGCAAAATACTTTAAGCAAGCATTTAAAAAGTTTTACAGCATACAAAGAAAAATCCTAGTCAAGTTTTCATCACAAAGAAACTGACCCCAACAACTTGCATGAGCTTGTTCCAAGTTTGCAGTTTCAATCTATGAAAAAACCACACCAAACAATAGTTGAAAGTGTATTTTTGATGAACATTTTGTTTAGTGGCAGGGGGAAACTGATTTCTGCTTGACGTAATTTTTATTTAGCTGTTTTACTTAAGCTAATTTGGGAGATTCCAATTTTTGATTAAATTAATTATTTGATTTTTTGCTACCATCTGTCACGAGAGTGTGTTGGGGCTTAAATCCTTCCCTTTAGCATGCATATAGGAGGGTCTAAAGAATTGTGGGTAGTAACACAGTGTCCTTGAAAACAAACTAAAGCTCTGGATCTTAGGATCACGTCCAACCAGTGGGAGTTGCAACCAGCACCTGCATTTCCATCCTTGGTTCAACACTGGTAAGCAACAGAGGATTCAGACCTGTTTAAGTCCTGGGACATTTCTCTGACTTCCCAGAGCACAGTAATATTGGGCCTCACTTAGAGAAACTGCTCTCAAATCCTCAGGCTAAAGCCAGTGATATTGAAGGTATGTTCATCTGTTGTGCAAGGGTAGCAGACAACCTCTCAGAATTATATTTTAATAGTCGCACTATGATTACAACAATCCTGGAAGGACTTTCTCTCTGGATTAGAAAGCAATATTTATTGCACAATAAATAAACACTTCTGTCGTGGGAAATGTAGTCAAAGGAAAGCATATGATGACAAGAAGGCTCCAAGCATTTAAAATAAAGCATTTCCAGTAAGCAACAAATGCAGCCTCTCTGTGCCACACCAAAGGCTGTTTTTTTTGTTACATC